CGCCGCTCCATGGCGAGCCGCAGCGCGGGACCCGCCGCCGCCGCCACCGGGAAGGAGCAGGGGGAGCGCGGGCGGGCTGGGCGGCGCCCCCCGGCGCGCAGCCCCCGCCCCGGCTCCGCGGGAGGCGGGCGGGATGAGCTTAGGGCGGGATGAGCTTTAAGGTTGAGTCCGGGTTTCTGCAGTGACACTGAAAATGTGCAGCATGGAGAAAATGCCAAGCACCAGACATCCACCCCTTCGTGAAAGCTAAGTATGGTGCTTCTGCAGGTGCTCATCTCCTGCTCTTCCCACSAGGGCTTTACCACACTTAATTTCCCCAGTTCTGGGAACTGTCCTCGTGGCCAGAGCAAAGCAAGTTCATCCTATCATGGACAAGTGAACTCAAGGCAAAAAAAAAGAAAAAGGTCTTGGGAGGCATTATTGTAGTTAGGTCCTGATCTGTGTGGAGGCTCTTGGGGCAACTGCTGTTTTGTCCCTCCTCGCTTTCCAAGTCTAGCAGGAGCCACCCAATACAGCTACTGAGAACCAATATCCCAAGGAAGGGGAGCAAACACTGTAACAGCTCTCAAAATATCCACTTAGGAGGTGGAAGAGGGATACAATGGCACAATGATAACGATGTTTTTACCAACATTGTTCCAAGCTCGTGTTCAATGTAGCCAAGTAAGAGATGCTCTTTTGTTGAGCGCAGAGATCTATGAGTGTGAGAGGGGAGACGAGATCCTACCCTTTGTGTCTGGCTCGCCTCCTTACATAGATGGCAGTAAGCAAAAGGCGGATTTTGTCAGATCTTCTTAGACACAGTAAGACATTCTAAGAAAGTCTCTGTATATTTATATACTGTGATAATTACAAGCATAGAGGCAAGAGGGAAACGCCAAGACCTTTGCCAATTCCATTCATATTCATTGAGAAAACACATGGATCCTCCCCAAGTCACATATGTTCAATATGAAAATGCCTGAATTGCACTGAATCACAGCAAGTTTGGAAAAACAGCCATGTCCCATGCAGCCACTAAGCAAACACGTGAATCATGTTCAATCAGGCACATTTAGTGAGGAACTAACCAAAACCTGCTGTTGCCAGACTCGGGCARTGCCGGAGAGTGCAGCTCTGCATTCAGATACCAGCAGAGAAAAATAAAGCGGACTAACTTGTCTGCGGTTCTGGCAGGGCTAATGCATAACAGAGAGTCCCTCTATTTTGTGACGCCTAAGCACTTTACAGTTTTATATCAAGGCATATAAATAGACTGCCCAACTGCAGCACATTTCCAGAAGCATTGCATGCTCAGACCCTAGAGATAWTGTGTGTCCTCAGAGCACCAGCCTCATCTTGTAAGTGTTCCTCCAGATTGTCTTCTTGCCTTTTCTGAGCTTTTCCTTCTTTTCTTCATTCCCTCCCTTCATTTTTTTCCACTCCCTGTCTTTTACCTTGTTCATGAACTCATTCCCTTTCTTCTTCAAATCACAAACAGAAATTCCTAAATCTTAAGGAGACACCTGCAGTCTCCTGGATGTATTTAGCTGCTCCTGCTGTTCCCTGTCAGTGACACACTGACCTACATGAGGAATAGATGTGTGCCATGTGAGAACCAGAGAAAAGCTGCCACAGCGCAGTTATTCTGAAGGAAGTAAAGGTGCCAAGGTTTAGGGCACTGTCTAACTCTGACTGGTAAACAGGTCAAAGTCACTCAGCACAAACAGGACACAGGACTTTTATTGTCCRAAGGTGACGGAAGAACATGCCATGTATTTGCATCTTCACTGACTTTGGTGCATTTAGCCATCCCTTGGTGGCAAGGGATGTTGGGCTGGCAACCCAACCACGGCAACTCGTGTTGGGGTGGTACCCTTGATGGCAAGGTTTGTTACAGCGCTCTAAACAACTCCCCAGCTGGAAAGAGACCTCCAGCTTGTGAGCCAGCACCCTCGCCCAGAAGCAACATCTCCCTCTCCAGCTGCCTCCCAGCCCTTTCCTGGAGGTGCCCGCCCCTGTCTCCACAGGCGGAGGAGCAACACGTGAAATGCAGATGCAACTTCACAAGCCAGCTCAGCTGTCCCTGTGGCAGGGTACCAGGAAGGGAGCACGGAAGGAAACCAGGAGGTGATAACTGTATCAGCTGCTCAGATTTAATCGGCCCATATTTTGCTATAGTTTAATCCCCTCTGGAATAATTGTAAATTCTTCCTCCTTCAAGGAGTATTAAACTGTAACAAACTAAAGCTGTGGTGAGATGTGAGAGCACAAAGGATCACTGAAAAAGAGATAATGTTACTGTAAGCGTGAATGCCCAGCACTGTTAGAATTACTTCTACCTACGAACCTCGCCTTGCCTATGCGACAGCTGCRGTAGCTCAAGATGCGACCCTGCCACGCTCAGATGTACATGGCTGGGGTGGTAAAGCACCGTGACTGCTTCCTTTCGCACAGCAAGGGCAGCTCGCGTGCTTAGGGCTGACCCTCTTCAGCGACAGCCGCTTCAGCCAAACCAAGACTTGGTTTCAGACCTGGTACTTGGTAGGAGCGCTGCAAAAATCCCTTCCAGTGCACATCGCATTGAGGTAGCAGCCGTCCAGGGGCAGAGACTGCTTGGACTGCTCCAGACAGAGCTGGAGAAGYGAATCCTTCCGCCAGGCTCCTTCCTGCGCTGTCTGAAGGCAGCACAGTCTCAGCTAGTGCCTTGCAGACACGGGCACGCTTCCACTCCTGCCTACCAGGTGTTGTTTCTTGATCCTCTTTGGGTTTAGCTTTAAGGACAACAATTAGATTAAGCAACACTTACACAATGTTCTCTGTTAAATGATTTCTGTTAACCCCAGTGACTTTTTTCAACAGTGGATTAGGGAGAACCCAAATAAATCACCCTTCTGGCAAAGCTGTGGGGTGAGGAAGCCCTAATATCTTCAAGTCTTGCAGCTGGATGTAAGAAAGGATGCCTGTCTTCAGCCTTACTGGCCAGGGTCAGCACAGATATTAAGCCAGGAACATGCGATATATGGGGAAAGTGTTAACTTTGCTGAATATCAGGTGTTTCATTATTTATAGATCCCCAGGTACATGTTTATTGATTTCAGCAACACCTCTTTGAAGGAATGTCAGCCGTATAAGATTTGCTGGTGACCAAATGATGGCTGGTCACAGTTACTATAATAGAAAGTTATGTGTAGGACTAGTTTTCTTATAAATGCAGCAGAAAGTAGTTAGAGGTTTGGGTTTTTTTTGTTTTTGTTGGTTTGTTTGTTTGTTTTGGCTGATAGTCATCACTTCGCGCTCATTCACAAGCTGATCTGCAAAATGCATTTGGCTGTGGAATGAGTTAGCCATCAGCAATTAAGAATTATTTTGTTGACAGAATCTGACAGAAGGTAATTTACCCAATTTTGTCTCTGGAGTTAGGAAAGATTTTCATAGTCTGACAGCCATGAGGCCACAGGTGGGAAACTACAGAATTGTGTTATTGCAGATGCTGCAGTTCTAAATGTACCGTGATGTCTTCACTGCCTGGGGAGTGTGTATTGCTGCCATCCTGGTGTACAATTATTTCAGAATTTGACCCTCAGATATAGCCATCTCAGTAAGACTACCCAGATCAATATTTTCACAACAACAGTTTGACTTCCAATTCACTTATCTCATATGTTCTCAGACAGGTGAAGTCTTTTGTCCTGACGCTGTATTCACATCTTACAGATCTTTCTTAGCCTCTTTGCTGCTGTTCCTGTTCCATAAGGAAATTCCATACATGTTGTTTTGACTCATCTTTTCTTCATAATAGATGACAACCTGCAACTAGATCCATCAGAACAGGCCACTGTGTCCCTGCAGGGTCCAACAGTCACAATTTGGGTGCACTTGCAAGAGGAACAAAAGCAGAGAAAATATGCAGACATGACAAAAACAGGACTAAATCTGATGTGCTTGTAATCCAAACTGTCGATGAACTGCAGATGAACACCAAAGCAGATAATCTTCACAATCTTCATAATCTTCATCCTGTTGCAGCCTCTCAACTCAGAGATGAGAGTATAACACCAGAAAAGTCTTTCCATATCTACAGGATATTATATCCCAACATTTCATACATTTCTAATATAAATTCATATGAACTTTGAAGCTTTGAAAAGCAAGACTTTTTACAGAGCTTCACTACTAATGCCAGCAAGTCAAAATGTAGAAGTTGGAAGTCAGAAGTCAGAGTTCAAACTGCAAACAGGATACAACATAGTAGGAGTGACTGCAAGAGAATTCTATAGGATATGAAGCATTGCTGTCACTTGGAATCTTTAAATCAGATGTCTAACATATTTGTTCTATTTCAATCACAAATTATAAGACTTTAGGCAGGAATCATGGAGTAAAATGAAGTCAGGCTAAATGGTTAGAATGCTCCCTTCTGGTTTTCAAATCCATGAAAATCCAGTTTCCTAGGGCAGCTGCCCTCACCACAAAAGAACAGCCCACACAGCGTGCTTGAGATCTGGAAACCTGCTGCTATCACTTCATCAGGTTAAGTCCCAGCTGAGAGCTCAGCCTGCAGCACTCAAAGGAGAGAGGGTCCACACAAAGCTGTGTCTTAATATGCTAAGCCACTATGCCAGCTGATGGAGCTAAGTAATTATTTAAAATAGCTATGATTTGGAAAAAGACTTTGCTTTTAAAACTAGAATTTACTATTATCCATGTCGCAATTAAGAACCTTGTTTACTCTCACACACAGGAAAAAAAAAAAAAAACTAATTTGACAGGAGTTTTTGAGTCTTTGTACTCCTTTTCCAGATGATAATTTCATAAGGAGTTTGAATGCCAGAGATGTCATAAATGCCACTTAGAGCACAGCAGCCACAATTAGGACTCAAAAAAAAAAAATTCTTAAATAGCCTATAAGGAAAAAAAATCATTTTTTTCAAATTGCAAATGCTCTGATTTGCTGATTTTCAGGTCGCACGGGGTTTTGCAGTACTATGCATTTCTTCGTGAAGGTGACGGTTGAAGGCAGGGTTGGATGGGGTGAAACCTTCTGGAGCCCAGAGGGGAACAAATGTTTGCATTACAATTTATAGCTATGTTTTTTTCCTGACACCTGGGAGTAAACTGCTGTCTAGCTATTTACACTTATTTCATTTCAAAATACTGTTAAGTATCTCCCTACCGTTGATAGACAGAACGTTTTTATTTTGTGTGAGAATATATTAGTGCAAATCCAGATTAGTGGATTCTATTTGCTTGAAATTAAGCCAAATACAAATACTGAAAATATAACTTGATAGCCCATTTTAATATATGACATATAAGAGGATACTCAACAGCATTGAATGGCATTTGAATGGCAGAAACCTAAGCAGGTTTTCTGCCAGTTTCCTCTAATCATTCCAAATCTTTAGAGGAATCTTATTTTTATGGTGCTTTCACTGAATTAGCCAAGCATCACCTTATTTTCAGTCAAGTTATCTTTACAGCATCTTTATGAGGTGAAGAAGGTTCGTTATCATCCTTCCATATAAGGGAGATAGAAGCACATAGACATTAAATTCCTTGTCCATAGGGCATATCTGCAACAAGCAATGGAGAGAGCCCTGAAGTCCTGCTGACCCTGCTCTTCAGCTGGAGAGGTCACAGCTTCACCCGCCGAGTGCCAAGCCTGACATGAGACCCATGCGGCATGTTACATCCCAGAAAAGTTCCAGTTATCTCACCACTGTGGCTTCCAGATCCAATTGGTGTTTTTGGAGAGTGTGTATTTGTTTGAGGAGTTGTGTGCTGCCTCCAAGTCACACAGGGAGTCAGCAAAAGACCCTGCATCTCCCAAGGTCCATTTCCTTGGAGTTTGTTTTTCCTTATTTGCTTTTTTAGCCTGTTCTAGCAGTACTTGATTGCTGATCTTTTCTCCTGATGTAAAGGGAAAGCACACTAAAAGCAGATATACATGTCATATATGAAGAATGTGACTGCATGCGTGCTGCAGTTGACTGGAACATTCAAACAGCAATTTAGTTCCAGCTGACAACAAAAATAATGAGCATAATCACCTAAAGTGTGGCTACAGCAGTGAGAAAATACCATAGGAAGACTAAAATTATTCCAAGTTAAATTTGTATGGCTAATTTTACACAAGAAATACTTGTAGGCCTTTCTCACTATTTCTGCCTAAATTACACTTGCCATTTGTTCATGCCCGACTTAACTGCATTGTTTCTGAATGCCAATGGCAAGGCCTTTAAGGCTGCTTTTTCAAAATAACACAGAATTTTTCACTTTGCTAAACTGTCCTGAACAGTCTCAGGATAGTGAAGCAAGATTCTTAAAATCTGCTTGTTGAAGCAGGCAGCTATGGGCCTCCACATCTGGGGAAAGCTCAATACCCAGATCCCGCTAACCTTGGCCATGTTCTAAAATACTAGGTTCCAGCATATTAGGGATGAGAAAAGCACATCCATTTGAAAGTACATTTCCCCCTCCCCTAAAAAGAGCTACTGTCCTTTCTTAGTACATTGGCTAAAAGAATTAGTAATATGTTTTCCAGGCTTTGCCAATAATAGAGATATGATACTTCTGAAAGAAACTCTAAAATGGTGGTAAGTAAAAATACACTGGACTCTGCTTGAAGCTGAGCTCAGTAATATGGTGGAATAAGTGCTTGGGAGAGGAGGAATGTAGTTTACAGCAGACATCCCAGCATTGTTAGCACGCATAGGAAAGGAACCAGTACTCAGAGGGACATAAACATCCCAGCTGATTCAAGCACAGGCTGTTTCCATATAGCCACGTGCTTGTCTTGAACATCAGAGCCTACAGTCACCACTAGCACCTTTCAGGGACCCCTTTTCCTTCACCCCAACAGAGCTCCAGGCACTCTCCYACCCTTCCAATCAATCATTTCCCCCACCACGACCAAGACTACYCTCCACAAGAGGCAGCAYATCCCATACTCTATAACCACAACCCCAGCCTCACCCATAGCAGCACSCCCCTAACTCTAACAGTCCCAGCACTACCCTACCTGAGAYCACCAAGTCTCCAAGGCAAAGMAACAGAGGTCTCCAAGGGCCAGGTGAAACCAGCTAGCGACCCAGAACCGAATCATGGCAACCTCTCCCTCACCACCTCCGTGAAGCCTGGAGGTTTTTATTGCCCCCAACTCCATCTTCTGCTCGTAGCGAGTTGTGGTGACTATCCCTGGTGCTGCAGGTGTTTTCCTGGGTCAGGAGAGCATCTCGCAACATCCTCGCTGGCACTAAAAAAAACAGCCATGCCGCAAAGTGCTCCCATAGGGCACAGTGCAAGGGCTCTCTCAGGCTCAAATCTCAGTTTACACCCTTAGAAAATAAAAATGTATTGCCGGCATGAGCTCATGACACAGCGATCTCTCTCTGAGCACTCGTTTTGGCTTACACGCTTGGAAGGGCTTGGTGTTTTCTCTGTAGCTTAGCTGTGCGATATTTCACCTCCCTCTTCATCAAGAACCAGGAGGGGTCTGTATTGCCATGGAATGAAAAAAAAATAATAACAGCAGTTTTAATTTAACATATATTTCTTTTATGAGAAGGCCTCTTTTTACATGACAGACACCATTTTTACTTTCATACCCGGTGAAATTATTCTATTTGCACATTGTCTGTAAGGGGAAGAGTTCAGGTCTGTCTTTTCTCTCTTTTTTTTCTCTCTCTACTATAAAAGTACTGCTTTCAGTTATTGACACCAATTGTYAGGATTTCATTGTGCTGAACAGATTGGTGGCAGTGAGCAGGAA